CGGATCCCCAACCGCAGCCGCGCTTGTAGGCGGTGCGGGTATGAGCTCGAGTCGCACGCTCACGTACTGAACCACTGTCTGGGTGCCGGTGACATGCACCATCCCAGGACATGGCGAAATCGCCACAGCAGTGTAATCAAAAACCTTGTCGCCTCCATGAATGACGACACGAAAACACACCTCCGCCTGGAGAAAACCGTACCCGGGAGCAAGACTCGTCTGTTGCCCGACCTCGTACTCCTAGATGAACAAAAGAAACAAGCAGTGATCATTGATGTTGCGTGCCCATTTGAAAACAGGATGCAAGCTCTCACCAACAAGAGAAAAGAAAAATGCACCAAGTACGAACCTGTCTGTGAAGAGCTCCGGGCGGCTGGATACACTGCAACATGTGATGCTGTCGTTGTGGGTTCTCTTGGGTCATGGGACCCCAAAAATGAACATGCCCTTAACCTCCTAGGCATCTGCCCCTCTAAGAGGCGACAGCTGAAACAAGAAATCGTCAGTGACGTCATTAGATGGTCAAGAGATTTATACGTCGAACACATGTGCGGCCACAGGCAGTACAGTAAAGATGTCGACCTGTCACTCTAAGCGGCAAGCCGAGCAGTCCCTTGGACGCATGGCGCCTAGCTGGCAGTTTCCCTGTGGCATCCTCGCTGACTTTAAAGAAGACTGCAGGAGAAGAAGTGCCCACTGCAGAAAAAAGCAGCAGGTGCCACACGGGGGTGCCAAGTCCCCGGCGTTGCGGCGCGGAGGGGGGCCACTGTCACTTCTGACCAGCCGGGCGTCAAAGGCTTCTTCAATCCTTGGGCCGCAAAACTGAAAACAAAAGAAAAAATAAACAACAACATTAAAGTCAACTTCAGCACATTCTGATCATCTTCATAACATTAACAATGTATTTCTATCTATATTTTGTCTTAAATGCTTTGTTAACAAAGCTATCTAAATGTAAATAGGTCTATTCCTATACTGAAAGGCAGTATTGTTGCCAATTTCAACTTATCTGCCTTTATATAACTTTTTTAAAATTTGTCTTAAGCTTTATTATTTAAGCTGTTTACAACTCTGCTGCTACTTTGCATAAATATTGCTTAGGATTTCTTCTTTATTACTAATATTTAACCTTTTTGTCGAACAGGCTTCGCCCCGGTTAGAGAGGACCCACCAACCTTCCTCTATCTTCTGCCATCTCGCTCCAAAAAGGGGCGGGGCGAAACAAGGCCTCATCCTCAAGAGCAGCAATTTTATTCTATGACATTACTTTATA